TGGGAGACTGCGAGGGTTTTTCTTGATGGCAGGGCAGAGGAGGTCCTGGCCAGGGCTGGCGGGATGGAGTTACAGTCAAGTCCTTGTGGACTTTGCAAAGGGAGGAACTTTCTAACCAGAATGAGCTACTAGAATAAGAAGTGAGCATCCTGTCCCTGGAAGAATTCAAGGGGAGCTTGGACAGACACTTAGCTGACAGGGTGAAGAAGGGTCATCACGATGTGCTTGCCAAGGAATTGTTGGTCCACCCAACACTTGCATCCAGCATCTGATTTGAGCCTGGCTGTAATCCTGTCCCGTTGGCAGAACCTGGGCCTTGTTATTTCCACTCACACGTGAGGGGACCGGCTGAGAGAGGCTGGAAGGCTGCTTAAAACTGTTACACCTACAGGAGAGGTAGAGCCTTGCTTCAAAGCCAGGTTTTCTGGGTTTTAGGTCAATGTTCTGCTGGATTGCCCACTGCAGAATGATTTGTAAAGCTACCGTTTTGGGAGTGGTGTGTGTGGGGCTAGGGTTAGACCTGCCTGTATTAGAATCCTGGGCATGGTCTTTAAAGTTTCTGAGCTACAGTTTTCTTATCAGCAACACAGGGATGATCAACAAAACCTCAACCTGCAGTTGATGAGAGAACTCATTGAAATAATGCTGGGAAACGTGCACGTGGCTGGGACACCAGAAATGCTCCGTAGAAGTAGTCATTATAGTTTTCACGGAAAGTGAAAGCTTAACATGTATCATCCCATCTAAAGCCTCACAGCTGCCCTCTGTGCCCCGTGAGGAAGACTGTTGTTATGGGCACAATACTTTTCGTATAATTCATACCCAGTTTTAATACCGTTGGGTGTGATTTTACATGTGAGGAAACTAAGTCTGAAAGAGACAAAAGTAATTTGTCCCGAGTCACCCAGCAGACATGGGAGTTGAATTCGGGTCAGCCAGATTCCAAAGCCTGTGGTCTTGACAGCTATGTGACGCCGCCTCCTGGTTCCTGACTCAACTAAGATTCCACCCACGATAGCCCAGCCCGGGCAAGCCTGGGGTCCGTCCCTTGCTGCCAGGCTGGACCACAGAGCAGGGCAGGGCTCTGCTGGCCGTAGTGCGGGCCGGCTGCCGAGATGCCTCACGGGGGTAGGGGTAGGAGCTGAGCTGCTCGCCTAGGCTGGTGACAGATTCCTGTGGCCTCTTTTTCAGTCCTGATGGAAGGTGGCAGTCAGGGTGAAATAGAAATTGGGAGGTCAAGAAGAGATGAGAAGGGCGGAAAGAGGGAGCCAGATTGGCTAGCCCAGCCGAGAGAGGGGTGAATGTGAGACCTGGTTTCATAGGCTTTGCCTCATATCATAGTGAGCCCATCAAACTCCTCCCACATCCTACAGTCAGTGTAATTTGTGTCGGACTTGAGCTGCAGCTGACTAGCTAACATCCTGTTCTATTTTGTAGACAGGTAATGAAGTGTCTGTTGCTTTTAGCTTTGCAGATTTCTTTCTGTATTTTGGAGTTAATTTTTTTTCAGGTTTCAAATATTTTTATAACCTAGAAAAGCTGGCAGGCAGTGGACATCATGCCCATGGTGCCCGATGGATAAAATGGCCCAGCAGCTGTAGACTTCAGAGCTCTGCCAGTTGTGATCAGCTTTTTTGCAATGCCCCGCTGGGAACACAAGCTCTCTGGCCCTGTCCCTTCCTTCATTCCCTCTTGTCTCCCAAGCTGGGGAGGCCAGGTACAGCAGCATGGAGCCCAGTGGCCTGGGGGACTCTGATGTGTGGGCCGTGCCTGTAGCCAGGCCACGGTCTGACCCAGCTCAGGAAACCATCTCTAGCTTTGGTATTTCTTCATGGGTCACTAGGGGGGTGCTGTGGTGTCAGAATTATTGGCATTCCCTTGGAGTTCCTCCCCTAGACCTCCAGGCAATTTCTTTTGAAAGGAGGGGGCATGAAATGACTCTGGGAAGAAAAGTTGCATGTTTCATCTCATTCCTGTCAAAGTTCGCATCTCGCAGGAACAGGGAGACACAGTTGAGAATTCCCAGGGCTAAAAGCCATCTCCGCTGCCTATCCCCTTGCCCCTGAGACTGTTCTTCCCCTAGCCTCCAGGACGGTGACCCCTTGTCCCTCTCCTAAGGAGCCAACCAGTCACTTCCCTGGGCTGTGCTGCCTGGCACCTCACACCACTGAGACTAACTCTCCTTCACAACTTGCTTCAATCCCACTGGCTTTCATTTAAGCTTTTCTCTTGTGAGAAACAGAACAGTTGGTTAATGGACATCTAGACCCACTTCTCAAACTGAGGTGCTAATCTAAAAAAATACATACATACATATATATATATACATATTTCTAATTATAGAGACTAAATTTTTGCCATGAAACTCACAATTTAAAGACATTTCTATGGAATAAGTAGGTATATTGCAAGTGCTGCCCATGGGGACCACTGGTGTTGGGGGTCTGTGGACATATTCTTGGAGTCTTGCAAGGAGTTTCCTTTATAAAGGAGTGTATACATTACTCGCCTTTGAAAAATACCCATTTCTAGACTGTTGTTCTCAAATGCCATTCTCAGCCACTACCAGCTCTTGAGGAAGTTTGAGTTGGTCCACAATGAAATGAAAAAGAGTGATGTTACTTGATGTACCCATATGCTATGTACCTAAAGCATGTGTGAGCCGAGTTTTAGGAAGCACTGAACTAGCCCTGCCCTTCTCTGACCTCATCATGCAGAAGGGGTGATGGAGGACCAGGGAGGATGAGGCCAGTGTCATTGGAACTAGGACCACAGCAAGCAGGGGGTTGTCAGGTGAATTTCTCCGGCTCTGAGGGACTGTGATGGTTGATGCACTGGTCTGACCTGACCCCTGGTGGCCAGAGAGGAGCGCCAGGCTGCAGAAATCCCCCGCAAAGTACCTGCACACAACAAATGCTTATGATTAACAATCAGAGTAGCCACATTTATAGGTGCTTATCACGTGCTGGGCCCTCTGCTAAGAACTTTCTACGTAAGCTCACCCCAGCCCTGTGGTTAGATCTCCTCCATCTCATTTCACGGGTAAGTCTCAGAAAAGCTGTGTGACCTACCAGGGGCACCCAGCTAGTGGGTGGTGGAACAGAGAGCCCAGATGTAAATCCTGGCAGTCAGACCCTGACACCCCGTGCTTGTGACTGCTAAGCTGCATTGCCACCTGACCGTATTATCGAGTGACCGAATGAATGATTAAAGTGAAGTGATGGGAGGGCTCGGGGGTTACTGGAGAGAAACTTCCCTTCCTAGAGCCTCAGGTCATCTCTGAAGGCCTCCAGAACCAGGGAGCATCGTTCTCGTGGTAGGTGGGATCCTCTGGGACCTCCCTTGTCAGAAAGTCCTCCCTCGGGTCAAGCTGAGAGCCACCTCACTAGAACTGCTGCCCCTGGGTCCTGTTCCAGGGCCGTGTGGCCTGCAGACCTGCCCAACGGAGTGGTCGGTCATCACCTCCCAGGTCCATCCCCGCCGAGGGCTCAGCAGTCTTGATTTTAGTCATTCTTCTCATCCACGCATGTGCTGTGACAAGCTCTTGACCGTCCACCATTTCACTCTTTGCCCATGTGCCCTTTGCTCTTCGGTGGCCCTAAGTGGGTTGAGCAGTTCTGTGCCCCCTGAGACCCGGCGCCTCTGCGGGCGTCTCCCCCTCCAGCAGCTGTCCCAGGCTGCGGGCTTGTCTTGACAACGTCTTAAGTGTGAGGGAGGCTCAGTGCGAGGATTAGTGAGAGCTCCTTACACAGTTCAGCAAGGTGAATGTATTCTAAGTTGCACAAAGTGCACTTTGGGATTACGGCTGAAGGGAGACTAGTCTTTAAATATAGATGCACACTTAGCTTCCTGCCAAAAAAAAAAGAGTCCCATTGGGGTCAGGCACATGACTGTGTTTAATTTCCACATGATCCTGCATGAAACACATCATTCCCATTTTACAGATGAAGAAGCTGTAGCTTAGAGAGGTGGTAACTAGACCAGGGTCACCCAGGTTTGGGGAGCTGTCCAAGCCTCACTTTCCTTACCTGGGACATGGGGGCTAATGACCTTTGTCCACCTTGCAGGGAGCTGGGGCCCTGACTCCTCAGACTCCCTCTGGCCAGTGTCCTCCCTCACCTCTGCCTGCAAGGAGCCACCCATCCTCAGAACATGAGACAAAATATGTGAAAATTCCCTGCAAACTGTAGTGATTATAGTGTGGGCCACAGAGGGAGAGAGACAGAGTATGTGTGAATGTGTGTGCATCTGCCAAGGGCCGTGTCTGCAGACCCCGTCAAGCAGGTGGGGTCCTCTGGAGGGGCCAGACTCCAGCCCTCAGGCCACTGTCCCCTGCTGTCCCTGCAGAGGGCCATCCGTGTGCGCAGCCACTCCATGGAGACCATGGTGAGCAGCCAGAGGAAGCAGCACAGCGGGGGCATCCCCGGCAGCCTCAGTGGGGGCATCTCCCATAACAGCATGGAGGTCACCAAGACCACCTTCTCGGTGAGTGCTGCAGGCCCTGGGGCAGCGTGTGGATCCCGGGAGGGTCCCCCAGGCCTCGGCTGGGGAGGCTGCGGCCAGGCGACCAGAGCAGAGATGACAGAGGGAAACTGAGGCTGTTTCGGGGGTGAGCCCAGGCCCGGCCCTCCGAAATGGCGCCTCCCTCCCAGGCAGCACCTGGGCTTGGCCCAGACTAGAGGCCCTCCTGTCGTCCTGTTCTCCGAGTTTCCTCAACATTTGGGCCTCCTCCTCAGGGCCAATCTTACAAAATAGTCCTGGGATGAGTTTCTCTGCCCCGGGGCCTAGGACCCGTGACTATGAGAGGAGTGTCCTCGCTTTGTTATTATTAATGATAGCGGTAGATGCCTGCCCTCACTGCTGCACAGCGGGCACTGAGCTAGGGCGTTCATGCACATTATCTCATCCGACCCGTGACAGCCGTCTGAGATAGGTACTCATGTGTTTGTTCTCCGTGTTTCATTTGAGGAAAAGGGGGCCCAGAGGGGTTAAGTGACTTGCTACAGGTCCCCCAGCCAAGCAGAAGAGCTGGGGTTTAAATGCAGGTCTCCCTGATCCAAAGTCTTAGCTCTTGGTCACTGTGTAAACAATTTCCAGGGAAAGAGCCTGGCAGGTCTGTGGGTTTGAGTCTGGCTGCTCACACCAGGGGCTGGCCAAAGAGGGACCCACAAACTTAGTCTTTTTAAAAAGCAAAGTGACTATGGATTTGTGTAGGCTAGGGTTTCCTTTCCTTTCCTTTCTTTTTCTCTTTTCTGTCCTCCCCTCCCCACTTCATAGCAGAACACGCTCACACCATGATACTAATGATTAATATTATGAATGGTCTTGCATCATTCATTTAATTTCCCAAAGATTTTCATAGCTATTATCTTGTTCCCCGCGAAGTTCTGTGAAGTGAGCAGGGCAGGGCAATTATCCTCATTCTGTGGATGAAGAGACTGAGGCCCAGAGGGTTTTGTCACTCATCCAAGGTTGCCCAGCACATGGGTGGCAGAAGTTGGGGCCGGGTCAGTGGCTGGGGTAGGGGGCTCTAAAGATTGGCCGTAGGCTCTTGTCTCCCCCTCCTTAGTCTCCCACCCTCTGTTGTCCCCCGTCGTGTGGCTGAAGCAGAGCCATGTTCTTGGTGGGCTCCCCCTGCCTGGGCTGCTGCTCTCAATCTGTCTTATTGTGATGCAGCTTGGACCCATTTCTTTGTGAGCAGTGGATGGAGAGTCAGGAGCCCTGGGCTCCCCTGCTGGTGATTTGCTCTGTGACCTTGGCCAAATCTCGCCCCTCCACTCAGCTTCTTCATCAGTAAAGTCAGAGATCAGACCAGGTCTCTCCCAGGGTTCTCGGCTTTGTGTTTCTCAGTCTGTGACCCCCTGAGTCACCCTGTCCTTCTAAGTATGCGAGACTCTTCTTAGGGTGGCCCTGACCCTGTGTTCTGCCAAGAATTCTGGTTCTTGGTAGATTGTTACCTGGGGCCCCAGGTTCGGCTTAAGATATAGGGCAACAGGCTGCAGGTGGCTTGAGTCTCAGGGTCTCAGCTCCAGTTACGAGATCCCAACCTTCCTGGCTGGCTCACTCTCTTCTGGGATCTCCCCCAAGCCAGCTAGGGGGTTGCAGGAGCTATTGGTAAACCAGAAAGGCGGGTGAGGGGAAGGGGAGCTGGCTTGGGGGTGTCAGCACTCATTCTGGCGGTTTCATCGGCAGCCTCCAGTGGCGGCGGCAACGGCGAAGAACCAGTCTCGGAGCCCCATCAAGCGGAGGTCGGGGCTCTTCCCCCGTCTGCACACGGGATCTGAAGGCCAAGGGGACAGCCGGACACGATGGTAACTGTCCAGGGTGGGGTTCGTCAGCTCCTGCCACTGCTGCACCCACCAGATGTTGACCTTGGGGAGGGCTTCCTTCTGACCCTGGTCCCCACTTCAGGCACCAGCATGTCCCCTGTCACCCACTCGGCTCTGTATCTACCGAGGCAGATTTGGCTGGTCTTTGCATGGGAGTCCCCAGAATTGTCGCATTTTGACCCAAACTGGAGATGTTGCTTGGATTCTTTTCTTTGCCTCCTTTTTCAATACTTTCTCAAGTGTCCACTCTGGTGGAAGCCTTCCCTGCTTCTACCAGGTGGAGTTCACCAAACCTTCCTCTGGGCTTCTAGACTGTTTTCTTTCTTTTCTTTCTTTTTTCTTTCTTCCTCCTTTCCTTCCTTCCTTCCTTCCTTCCTTCCTTCCTTCCTTCCTGCCTGCCTGCCTGCCTGCCTTCCTGCCTTCCTGCCTTCCTGCCTTCCTTCCTGCCTTTCTTAAAGCAACACTCAAATGGCATCATACTTACCTGTTTCTGCTAATGGTTCGTCTTTCTGATCCTTTAATCACTGAGCCCACTTGTGGTTTAATTCATCCTCCTCTCCTCAGTGACAGTGCATCCAGCAACCCCAAGACCCCGGATGGTGGACACTCTTCTCAGGAGATAAAGTCTGAGACCTCATCCAATCCCAGCTCTCCAGAAATCTGCCCCAACAAGGAGAAGTAAGAGAGTGGGGGGAGGGGAGGGGCTGGCTTTCACTCCCTGGGGCCTTGGGTTGTGTGCTCTGCTCCAGGCAAGCTGAGAGCCAGCATCTCTTGCCTTGGGAACTCTCTGGAACACAGAAGCCAACTGGCAGGGGCCTGGGGATGCTGTTGGTGGGCAAGCTCAGGTCTGCTAGGCCTGCCTTACCCTTAGTCCCAGGAAAGGCCTGGGCAGGGCCGGGGGCGTGTCTCGGTGTGTGACCAGGGCCTGCCTGTCTTCCTGTTCCCTGCAGACCCTTCATAAAATTGAAGGAGAATGGCCGAGCCAACATCTCCCGCTCCTCCTCCAGCACCAGCAGCTTCAGCAGCACGGCAGGGGAGGGCGAGGCCATGGAGGAGTGTGACAGTGGGGTAGGTGTGGCCCTATCCAACCCCGGGGAGTAGGGAGAGGCACTCTGGGCCCAGCCAGACACAGTTTCATGCATTAAAATAGCTACTGTGGGCAAAGCCCCAAGCAGGCTCTGCAGATAAAAGAGGAAGTATGGAAACCAGGGGCCTGGGCAGCCATCCCCACCCTCTGGGAGCAGCGGTTCAGTGTGGTGGGGTGTGGTCTCCCTGTGGGAGCAGCAGCAGGGGTCAGAGGCCAGACTGAATGGTGTCCCTGCCCTGGGGTTTTGGGCTGGAGAGGAGAGGGGTCAGCCCTGTCTATAGGGCTGGGTCAGGACACTTCCTTGGGGGCAGGGGGTGAGGCTAGAGCCAGGGTTGGAGGCTGCAGAAGGAAAGAGCAGGTCTATGTGGGGAGAGGGAGGCAGTGGCTGCCCTGGGCTTCTGGGGGGACCTGTCTCAGGCCTGCCGAGGGTGGGGCTGGCCTCGCTCACCCGGCCTCTCTCCCCAGAGCAGCCAGCCGTCCACAACCTCGCCCTTCAAGCAGGAGGTGTTTCTCTACAGCCCTTCCCCGAGCAGTGAGAGTCCCAGCCTGGGGGCAGCTGCCACCCCCATCATCATGAGCCGGAGTCCCACAGGTCAGTGGTGTCTTGTGTGGCCGGTGGGGGCGGGGCAGTGGCCTGACCACTTCGTTGGACACGCATCCCAGGCATGCTGAACTGGCCTGTTTCCATTCCAAAGCGTTCGGGCCTTCAGCTGTGCCAGCCCACCGCATCTGTTCATCATCCTTCGGGGGCCTATGTTCTTATCCCCTCCTTATTCATGGGGAAACTGAGGCTGAGAGCTCAGTGATTTGCCAGAGGAGTTAGGATTGTGTGATTCAAGAGCTGAGGCTCTTTCCCCTGACCTCTCGCCCTGCCCTGTCACCGACCCAGGGCCCATGGTCACAGCGACCATCCTGATAATACAGGGATAAGGGGTGGGGGGAGTGATGTGGGTGGATGGAACAGCAGTGGAGAGCCCGGGGGATCCAGAGACCATGCTTATGGTTCAGGGAGTCTGCAGTACATGGAGGGGATGTGTGACAGTGATTAGAGCAACTGACTGGGGCCACCATGGGACCCTGGTGAGGATTTTGTATTATCCTGCCAGCAGTGTGAGCCATTGGAGAGTCTTAAGTCTTTTAAGATTCTTAAGTAGAGAGGAGTCATCTGGAGGAGAGAGACCATTTTGGCAGCTGCAGGTGTTTGGCTGAGCAAAAGGATTGCTGGGGAGTGGGTGCAGGAAGGGAGATCGTGGTGGGTGGTGAGGGGTGATGGGGCCATGGATCTGGGTGTCTGGGGCAATGGGAGAAGGCATGGATTCAAGGGCGGTCCGGGGTCAGTAGTGGGAGCTTAGGGAAGGCAAGGAGTCGGGGCTTTTCAGGATTCTGTGATCCCTGCAGTCGGGCGGAGAAGGAGGAGCCAGCTCTGGGGAGAGGGTGAAGGGTTGGAGCCCGAGGGACATCCAAGCGGATGTGTGCTGTAGACACCAGGGGCACTGCAGGTGCCTGGAAATCAGAGCTTTGGTCCTGCCCTGGAGGGCAGCCTGGTGCGGGGCAGACTGGAGTCTGGGTGCAAATCCTGGATCTTCCCCTTACTAGTGAAGTGCCATTGGGCAAGGTCCTGAGTCTCTCTGTGCCTCAGTTTCCCCAAGTGACAAATGGAAGGAGAGGAATAGTTTCTACATCATGTGGTTGGTGAAGAGTGAATGAGTTACGCTTATCAGAGACCTAAACTGTTAACCTAAGTGTTTGTTCAATAACAGAATAAAACAATAGTGTAATTAGTGGTTCTCAACTGGGGGCAGCATTGCTCGCTAGGGCACATTTGGCAACTTCTGGGGAATTTTTGATTTTCATGGGAAGCAAGTGTGCTGCTGGCATCTATTGGACCCAGGTAAGGGATGCTGCTAAACATCGCACAGGGTACAGGGCAGCCCCCACAATGAAGAGTTATGTGGCCCAAGGTGTAAGTTGGCTGAGGTTGAGGAACTCTAGTCTAAATGATGGAAACACAGAAAAGGCCAGTGGGCCAACTAGGTGGTTTCAGCCACAGTGCTTCTGGGGTTCTCATGGTGAAGGAATGTTGGCAAAAGAGGACAGCAATGCTGGGAATACAGGAGGATCACTGTTCACAAGCAAATGTGCCCCTGTGCTAGTGGGGCAGCCCCTGGGGCCTGGGAACTGTGGAGCTGGGTTCTGATCCTGGTGCAGGGTTGGCAGGCTCACACCTCTCTGAGCCTCAGTTTCCTCATCTGTAAAGTTGGGTAGTAATACAAATTCCCTGATGATTATTTTTTTTAACAAGGCTTAATTAAACATTGAAAGGGTGAATGAAAGAATCTGTAATTAAGCCTGGCTCCTCCTTGGTGTTAAATGAATATGAAAATAAATAAGGAGTTTGAGAGTATGACTTGCTGAAGTTCCCCAGGGCAGAAGGGGACGTGCAACAGGTCTGTGACTCCTGCCGAGTTCTTATTACCACCCCTCTCACCACCCCTGTGCCCCGCCCACATGGAGTACGTAAACCTGAGGGGCCACATCTCATCCCCAGCCCCTCAGGAGTTGTGCTGGGTACCCTCAGGGACAGGGTGGGCTTGCGGAGATCTGGAAACTCCTCAGTTTTAGGCTGTTCAGCTGCATTTGGGTTGAGACATGGCTGAGGAGAGGGAGGCGGCCTGGAGGGCCTGGTCTCCCATTATTTCAGGTGCCCTGATCATTGGTCTTTTCACACCTGAGCTTCCTGGGGCCCTGAGAGGGGACTGGAAGGTCACACCAAGAGGTACTCATAGCACTGAGTGGAACCCTGTGATGTAAGTTCCAAGAGTAAGTCAGCAGCCTCCAGGTGGAGTACACTGAGCTGTAGACCCCCCAGGCCAGAAAGCCAAGTGGCCCCCCTGCCAGTGGAGAGCCGGTAAATATTTAACACCTAGCTCTCATCACACACATACATACACACACACACGTATGTACATGTTTACTGATATAAAGGATCTGAAGCGCACAACTTACAAATAATGACAAAATATCTAATATTCTTTACTTATAAATCCCACAGAGCCCATTGGTTCTCACAAAAGGCTTTTCTTGAAATTTGTCTGACCTCTGTATCTATATATAGGCAGTGGAAGGTTCCAGATGATGAACACGTGTAGTTCCAACATGAATGGGGATTGGTATTATTTTGTCAGTGATGTGAGCAGCTTCTTTGCTGAATCAGATAATAGTTTTCAAATACTGCAAGGGGATTTTCTCAGTTTTACGTGCCCTTCGCAGTGCAGTGACTAGAGACACAACACATATGTGACGTGGGGTTGGGAAGAACTATCAGTCAGATAAAATAAAGGATGTAAGTCACTTTAGGAGTATAGGTAATAGTGAGATGTTGTAAATAACTAGGAAGCGATGACTCTGAGAATTTATTACCTTTGATGAATATAATTTATTCAATTGTAAGCTTATCTATTTTTTTAAATGACTGTGTATAACGGATTTCTAAAAATTTAAGAGTTGGCTCTCGGGAATCAGGGCAGGTCAGCCAGAGTGCCTAGTGGAGAGGAGACCACCTTCTCCTGGCCTCCCTATCCAGGGCCCCCCTCCGCAGCCCCTGCGACATCTGCAGCCCCACCCTCATCTCAAGGGCGTTCTTCTTTTTCCTAGATGTCAAAAGCAGAAACTCCCCGAGGTCAAACCTGAAATTCCGCTTTGATAAGCTCAGCCATGCCAGCTCCAGTGCGGTAAGGGTCACACCTCCCACATTCCACCCTCCTCCTCCTCCCTGGGGTTGGAGGAAGAGGGCGCCCCACACCTCACACAGAGGAGGCC